AACAAAGCAGCCCTTTCACAGACATGGCTGTGTATGTTCACAAGCGGAACAGGAGAAAATGCATGTGGGTCCTAACATCATGGAATCCATAAGGAGACAATCAATATCATAGACTCTGAAACACTCTCATGGGCTTTGCCTTCATAGATGGGCTCCAACCAAAACCATATTTGACTGAATTTCTATTTAAAGCTGCAAAAAAAATTGTACATCAACTGGGAAATTATCTGCCTGGTAATGACTTCTCATTTCACACTTGAATCTGATTCCAGCACAGAAAACATGATCCCAACAATGTTGCATCTACAGATCAGCTTCCTGACCATTTCTTTTCTTTCTCTCTGTAATGTCGTTGACACTCAGTAAGGCATTATTGCGCACGTAGGGTGCTAAGCGATGGGCCAGATGTTGTTTTGAGATGAAAGTTTCATTATTTTAGATGTTAACAGCTTTTATTTTTTTAAGTTTAATTTTATTTTTCATTTTCATTTACTTTTAATTTTGTATTAGTTTCAGGTACACAGCATAGTGGAAAGACAATCACATGCTTTACAAAGTGCCCCCTGCAATATTCCCATTACCCACCTGTCACCATACATACTTATTCCAATTATCGACTATATTCCCTATATTGTACTTTATATCCCTGTGACTGTTTTGTAACTACTGATTTGTACCTCTCGATCCCTTCACGATTTTCACCCTGCCCCCAGACCCCCAGCCCTCTGGCAACCACCAGCCTGTTCTCTGTGTCTATAAGTCTGTTTCAATTTTGTTGGTTCGTTTATTTTGAAGATGAACAAGTCTTGAAGAGTCAATGTACACTAGGAAATGTGGGTATACGTAAATACTCATAACAATAATGACTGGGAAATGTTACAATCAAGGTATCATTAGTGCCCGTGAAACTGAAGAATGCTTGCTTGAAAACGACTTTTGAGTTGAGTCTTAAAGCATCGGGAGAACTTTGCAAAGCAGAAAGGCAAATGGCTCTGACAGAAGGAGCTCAGGTGACAGAGAGGCTAAATAGAAGATGATATTTCTAAATATATTTGCTACGAGCACCACAGGGACCAAAATGACATCAATATTGTCAAAAGTTTTTGCTGTTCCTTTTTCCCTCATTCCCCCAATACCTCAGGCCTAGCATGCAGCCAGGGAAGGTCCTAGAATCCACCCCTGATTATACAGACTAATAGTAGTGGCCCCTGCTACTTTTCACTGTGGGTACAGGAAAAAGAAAAAAAAAAATGTACATCAACTGGGAAATTATCTGCCTGGTAATGAATTCTCATTTCACACTTGAATCTGATTCCAGGGGTGGGTGTCAACTGGCCGCCCAGCAGGGGTTCCATGTGCTGGAAAAGCTTGGGATGCCCTGGTCTCTGTGTTGTGGCTGACTGCTGGCTTCCTGAGAGTTCACGAGACAGAAAAGGGTAGGAGCCTGCCACAGACTCCTTAGGCTAGACAATGCCGTGTTCCTGAGCTTGCTGTCTTGACTTAGAATTTAGACACCACCGATTCCCAGAATTAGAAAGCTGAGTGCTCTTCTTAAGAATATAGAGAGAGGGAGGAGGCCTCCAGTCAAGATGGCAGTGTAGGTAAATGTGTCTTTTGGAACTTCCCACAACCACATCAAACATGCAGCTAAACTACAGAACAACCATCATTCAGAACCATCTGAAATCTAGCTGAACAGAAGTCCTGTAACTAAGGATACAAAGAAGCAGCCATGCCAAGGCTGGCAGGAAAGGCTGAGCTATGGAAGGGGCTGGTGCCACGCCACGTGTGGTGAATAAAAATCTGGAAGACTCTCTCGGCTGCAGAGGTCTCCCTCTGAGGAGTGAGGGGTCCTAGCCCCACACTAGGCCCTCCAGGCCAGGGTTCCAGTGCCAGAAAGAAAGTTCCCATAACCTCTGGCTGTAAAAACCAGCAGAGATTGTGGCTAAGGGAGACGGAGGCTTCTGAAATCCCTGGCATTCCTCTTAAAGGGCAATAATCAGACTTACTCCCTCTGAGCTCCACGCCAGACAGCAGCTCCAAAGGCGCCAGGGACATACGGGGAGAAACGAACTGTCCGGCTTTTGGGAAGGTGCTGGGGGGTAGCTTTTTCCCAAACAGAAGAGCTGGCAGATGCCATTGTCCCTTTTCTGGATCCTTCCCTCACAGAACCAGCAGGAGGGCACAATATCTGAATCATCAAACAGGCTAACAGTGTTAGCCCCACCCTAATGATTCCCCGAGACCCCTCCCCACCCAACTCACAGGCCCACCCAAGCTCTGTCCAGTGGTTTTTCCATACAAATGGCCTCTCTTGGCTCATGCTTCAGACTTTCCTGAAATCTCTCAAATAAGCAGTGTCTGGCCTCAGTGTGCCCTGTACCTCTTGCTAAGTGGACCCATGCCTAGCACTGTAGTGGCAGTTGGCCTTGGTTTGAAGCTTGGCCTGTCCCGGACACCTCCTACCCATCACAAATGGTAGCCCTCTGAAGAACACTTCCCGGGAGGCCTCACAGCCAGTGCACCTGGTGGACAGCTTCAGACCATGCTGGACTACCAACTACCTCCATGAGCAACACACTCAAGGGGCACGCTCAGTGGGCACCAAATCCCCACTGAAGCGAGTCCTGCTGCATGGAGTCAGCCTTGGCGCAAAAGCTCCTCCACTAAAGGCACAGCTGGTCCTCCCAGCCAATCAGCCTGGGGGGTCAATCCCTCCAAGTGATGTGCCCACAGCAATGAAGACTCAAATATAACAAGAGGGTGCACACAGCCTACATGGAGGACACAGCTGGAGCACTCAGCTCAGGTGACTGGGGAGGCTGTGCCACTGGGCCCTACAGGACACCTACTCAGTAAGGCAATGCTACCAAGACTGGGAAACGTAGCAGCTCTTCCTAATACACGGAAGGAAGCACAGGCAAGTAGTCAAAATGAGGAGACAAAGAAATGGGTCCCTAAGGAAAGAACAAGAGAAATCTCTAGAAAAAGAAATAAATGAAATGGAGGCAAGCAAACTACCAGACAGAGTTCAAAACAATGACTATAAGAAAGTCCAATGAACTTACTGAAAATGTCAACAGTATAAAAAAAAGACATGGAGCCCTGGCCAGTTTGGCTCAGTGGTTGAGGGTCAGCCTGTGGACCAGAGAGTCCCAGGTTCAGTTCCAGCTAGGGGCACATACCACACACACACACACACACACACACACACACACACACACAAAGACATGGAAATCATTAAAAATAGCCAGTCAGTAATGAGGAATACACTAACTGAAATGAGGAATACAGTATAAAGAATCAATGAAGCAGGAGATAAAATCAGCAATTTGGAAGATAAGAAAGCAGAAAAACACTCAATCAGAACAGCAAAAAGAACAAAGAATAGTGTAAGGAGCCTTCGGGACAACTCTAAGCATATCAACATTTACATTGTGGAGAATACCAGAATAATAAGAGAGAGCAAGAAATTGAAAATGTATTTGGAAAATAATGATGGAAAATTTCCCTAACCTGGTAAATAAAACAGACATACAAGTCCAGAAAACACAGAGATTACAAAGATGAACCCAAAGAGGTCCACACCGAGACACATCATAATTAAAATGCCAAACGTTAAAGACAAAGACAGAATCTTAAAAGCAGCAAGAGAAAAGCAGTTAGTTACCTACACAGGAACTCCCATAAGACTGTCAGATGATTTCTCAACAGAAACTTTGCAGGCCAAAAGGGATTGGCACAAAGTTTTCAGTGATGAAAAGCAAGGAACTACAACCAAGATGATTCTGTCCAGCAAAGCTATCATTTAGAATTGAAGGACAGATAAAGAGCTTTCCAAACAAGAAAAAGCTAAGAGTTCATCAGCACCAAACCAGTATTACAAGAAATGTTAAATGTCTTCTTTAAGAAGATGAAGAAAAAAATATCAATAATAAAATGGCAGTAACTACCATATATTAAAAGTTCTCTTCATTAAAAAAAAAAAATACAAAACAAAGGTAATTTAAACTGGTTTATGATACAATTATGACATCTGTTTTTTAAAATAAGGTTTCTTTCCCTTTACATCAACTTCAGCCTTTTTGTCAATGTCTTCCACAGCATCCTTTTTTGTCCCACCTGTGTTATTGACGCAATGTTAGCATGCTCTGTGAATGAATATATTTGTTTTTGACTACTTTTCCAAATTAGAGTGGGTTTTTCTGTTTTTGTTTTTTGGGGGTTTTATTTGGCAGCGGGGGGAAGTCATGTATGTTAATTTTCTTGGACTGCCCTTATAAAATATCAGAGACTGGGTGGCTTAAACAATAGAAATTTGTTGTTTCACAATAATTTCTGGAGGCTAGGAGCCCAAAGATAAACAAACAAACAAAAATATACAGAAAGGTTTAGTTCCATATATACTGACTTATTTAAATCCACTAGGAATAATACATGCAAATATCTGCGTGTACATGTAGGGATATATAGATATAGATATAGATATAGATATAGATATAGATATAGATATAGATATAGATATAGATATAGATATAGATATAGATATAGATATGAAATATATATATATATCCGTATGAAATAGTATGTCTGAAAGAGAACAAACACAGTATCATCCCCTGTATTATCATATAGATCGCATGCACATATAACAGTGTGTTCAAGGTACAGTATTCTAGAGTAATGCTTTCTGACTTCTTGGAAAAGAAGTTTTATTCATGGTTATGTTGTGATAACAATACTTCCACTTCCAGCACGATCACATGTTTACAATTAAAGTATGGTGAACTGAGATTTCCTTTATTCCTTAACATCACTAGTATGAATGTGAAAAACCATGCAGTGTTCAATGCACTCCATTTAAGACACTGGGTAAGACGCCCTCTAGTTCGCTCTGCCTGGGATTACAGACGCGAACAGAGGACGTGACCACAGTGACCCTGTGGTTCTAAGTAGTGAGAGCAAACCCCCGGGCCTGGCCCGTGTTGCCTCCTCCGCAGCCATCCACGTCGCGGCGCACGTGTGCAACCTGGAGCGCTACCGGCTGGCTCGGTCGGCCCGCGCCCAGGGCCTGGCGGCCGCCCTCTCCAGGCTCGGCGACGCGGCGGGGGAGAGCTACCTGAACCCCGTCCGGACCCTGCGCGCGGTGAGTTCTCCAGGCTGCCTGCTTTCTCAGCTGAAAAACGCTGCCTTTTCCCACCCCTAGTACAACCAAGAGCACTGTGTTTTGGAAGCTCTTAATAAAAGAGCTTGAGAGAAGTTTCTGCCAAGTGTGAACATGAATTTCACTTTTTTTTTCTTTTTTTTTAGTTTTTTTTTCTTTCCCTGCCATAAATGTGGCTAAGAGGTTATGAGCAAGGAGAAAAACTGATGCTATTTAATTTGTTTAGAGAAAAATAATAATAATAAATACGCCTAAACAGGAAATGCAGTATCCTGTTAAATCACTAATATTTTACATTTTAAAAGCAGCTTGTGATTAGATATATTTTTGCTGATGTGAGACTCATAAAGAATGTGAAGTGCCATATAAATCCAGAGATTATAAATTATGTGTCTCCATTTTTAATTTGCAAATTGTTTTTTGGATCTATTCTCCCGTGTCGTATTTTGGCACACGTGTGTCTAGTTGGTTTGCCAAATCAGATGCTGGGCAAAGTAGCTATTTTCATGGTGAGGCCTGCGTGGCCAGTGACGTCACTGGTGTTAATTATCCGTGTGCACAGAGTGGCAGCCCACGTGGGAAACAGAAAGAAAACCAAACATGTGGCCACAGAAATCCACCTGCAGAGATTAAGACATTCCTTTCGCTTAACCTACTCCCTGCCTTTCTCCTTAGTTGATCTAAACCTTTGGCCCGGTGCTGCTGCATTGGACTATGCATCCAAAACATGAATCAGGTTTGAAAACATCAGTATTGTCCAAGAAGTGCCGTTAGGCAATACAGTCCAGAAATGGAACCCTCTCCGTCACCATCTGAGCGGTTTTGCCCAGGCAGCCTTATATGACGAAGCAAAATTCAAAGTCTCTTTTGGGGAAACATCTTCTAAAGTTATGTCCCCTAATTATCTTAAGATGATTTCCAATGTCAGGCATTGATCAAATAGAGCTATATTTTCTTAGCTGACAACAGTTAAAAGCACAAGTTTCAAAGTTATAAATCAAAACTCCAGATGCCGCAAGCCTGCGGGAATGCCTTGGGGGACCCATCTGGGCCACAGCATCTCTCTGGAACTTACTGAGGTGACCTGTGTTCCCCACTAAGGCTCTGGGAAGGTCACTGCTACACAAACCCAAGAATAAATCGCAACATTTTAAAGAGATCATATAAATAAATAATAAATAACGTTTATTATAAATACTTTTAAAGCAATTGAACAGCATGATTAAGCTACTTCTAATATATTTATTTCAAAATTTAGAAGTAACTTTGTAAGTACTAATTAGGTCCAGGGAACTCTCTCTAATTTGGGTATTTGGAGAAAGGTAGGTATCAGGAGCACAACATGTACTATATAGATAAAGTATTTCTTTTTTTTTTTTTATCCTCACCCGAGGACATTTTTCCATTTTTTGTTCAGATAGAGTGGGAGGGATAGAGAGGAAGAGAGAGAGAGAGAAACATCGATGTGAAAGGGACACATTGAGTGGCTGCCTCCCGCACGACCCAACCAGGGCCGGAGACAAACTGCAACCGCGGTACATGCCCTTAGCGGGAACCGAACCCGGGTCTCTCTGGACCGCAGGCCGATGCTCCAACCGCTGAGCCAAACCAGCCAGGGCCTGTATAGAGTATTTCTAACTAGCTGCAGTGATTTTATTTTGAGGACACATTGCAACTCAAACCAGTGTACGGTTTGGTGCAGGAAAAAGGAAGTAGGGTTTGCTGCAATAAACAAAGACGAATCGTCTGAAATTAGCACATCATCTGATATAAATGGATTTCTAAAATGTGTGAGTACACTTGAAAAAAACCCTTTAAATGCTTTAGACGTACCCTTTCAATTTTATTTCCACTGTTTGGTCTGTGAAGCAAAAATAAACACCCGAGAAGTCCCTGTCCAAATTACCTCGAGATCTCACGGCAGCCCCAATTAATGAGATTTTACTGACAAAAGATACAGTGTGAGTTTATTAAGCTCTCGGTCGTCTCGACGATAGGAACACGATGTATGAATACTAATGACTTGACAAGAACATGGGAAACTCACAACAAAAACAAACGCGTTGTGATTTATATTCTAAAAGGCTATTTAACCACCCTCTGCACTCACAGGTCAGCAAGCTGGTCTTTTGGCAGTGTAGACCAGATAAGAATAGCTGTATCTTTATTGATCACCTAGGATTTGCAGAGTCTTATGCCAAGCCTCCTGAGGTGGCATGAAAGAAATGCCAGTCATGGTCCTCCCAATTAAGCAGCCAAAGCGAGGACTAACTAACCACCAGAGAAGCAGGGTCTGTAGCTGCTTCACTCGGAATGCCTCTGGGGGGCTCTCAGAAAAAAGTGTTTCTTAATGTTAAAACGCAGTTAAGCCAAGTGATCCACATTTTTATTTTAAAAATCAAAAATTTGAAACTCAGATTTATTTTGCAGTGTTATATCGTAAAGTGTATTTTTATATAGTGCCTAATTTCAGTTCGGCATAGTGTCTTTGGCATCACAATTGCTTTATACGGATGGAAAATGAAGTTAAGGAAATGCATTTGATGCAATGTTCACACGGTGAGTGTCTGCCATCAGGTGGGGGAGAGGAAAGGGAGAAGGAACACCCTTCTTGAGTTGTCTGGGGACCATTCTAAAGCTACAACAGTGTAGGACAAAAGTAGGTTTATAGTGTGAGTGTGCAAAACAGTTTATTCTTGTGCTATTATTTATTATTTATTGTATTCTTCTCCATACGAACAACTGTGAACCTACCTTTGCCCCACCCTGTATATGTGTCTGATTAGAACATTTTGAATTGCTCTTTGCTTGGACACTCAAGTTTTGGTTCTCAAATGGAAAATTAGAACTCAGATATTAATGTCATGGCATCTGTCCTTTTAGAACACAGACACTGAGTTGCTAATGACAGTCGCGGGCATTACTGGCCTGATGATCTCTCTGGCTCTAACCTTGATCGTGACCTCTTCCACTGAGTTCATTAGACAGATCTCCTACGAGTTGTTCTGGTACACACACCACGTCTTCATCATCTTCTTCATCAGTCTGGCTGTCCACGGGGCAGGGTAAGTCCGTACTGTGCTCCCCTTGTAAGATGTTATCTCTGTGAACCTCAAAATAATCTGAGAACGCCCTTTGAATGGAAGAACATGACATGCAGGGGACTAAAGGACACAGAGGTCACATGAAAATCATGTTCAGTGTGGCAAACTCACTGTGTGGACCTTTTTTAGTAAGACTGAAAATAAGCGACATAGATGTTGAAGTACTATATTTATTTTTCCTAGTTAACTCTGCTGGGGAGTCTTGATGTCTTTAATAAAGTAGAAATAGAGGCATGGAAACAAGAAACAGACTGACGGATCTCTGAGGGAGGGGGAGGGCAGCAGGAAAAGATTAACCAAAGAATTTATAGCATATATGCATAACCAGTGGACACAGACAACAGTGTGGGGAAGGCCGGGGCCAGGCAGGAACCTGGAGAAGGGGAGCAAGGGGGGAAATGGGGGACATCTGTAACACTCACAACAATAAAGATAAAACAAGAAGAAGAAAAGAAAGATTGCTAGCCCCAGTGTAGAGAGCAAGGGTCCTCAGCAAACTATGGCTGCAACTTCAGAGCTTGCTGCTGTCTGTTTTGCAAATAAACTTCTTTTTTGTTTTTATTTTTTTTTCTTTACTGATTAGAGAGGGAGAGGGAGAGATAGAAACATCGATGAGAGAGAACATCGAGTGGCCGCCTCCTGCATGCCCCCCACTGGGGATTTGGCCCACAACCTGGGCATGTGCCCTGCCCAAGAGTCGAACTGACGACCTCTTGATGCATGGGTCAACACTCAACCACTGAGCCATACTAGCTGGGCTTATCAATAAAGTTATGCTGGAATACCAAAAATGATAAAATAAAATAAAATGAAGGAATTGTAATGAAGGTTGATGGCATTAGATACACACTTCATTCAGAACCTATGTCCACAAGCCAATTTAGATGGTATTAATCAGGATATATATTTTTGCCACCCATATTTCACTTCTACTCGAGCAAAACCATCCACTAGGAAACCCCGTGTGGGGCAGTAGGTAGAATGTGAGGTGGCCCGTCTGATCTGGGCTCTGCCACTGGCCCTTTAAATGCTCCAGACTTGCGTTAGTTTCCCCTCTGACCTCAAACATCCCATAAGTGCCGCCTGGCATTCCACCCCACCTGACACTGGCAATCCTCCTCATCAGGAAACTAGAACAGCACCTGAAGTATAACACTCTCCAATATACTGTTTTCAGTTCTTTAAATATTAGCAAAATCTTTTTGGACCAATTAACCAGTCGATGTCTATCAACTAGTCTGTCCCATATTAACTATTTCATAAATTGAAGCCTTGTTCCCCATTTCACAATTTGCAGAGCACACTCACGAGCATGATGGGTTTGACCCGACGCAGTCCTGTCCACAGAGCCTGAGCTATTCTCCCCATGTCATCAGGAGGAAGCAGGTGTGCAGGGTTCATTGACTCACTTAAGGTCCCAGGACAGATAAATAGGCGAGTCAGACCTAAGATGCCAGTCTTCAGACAACCAAACCTTTACTGGTAACAAGCCCTGAAGAACGGCCCTTCATTTTCAAGAATTAAACCTTCCTCCTCGGCACCTGGCGGGCTGTGGCCGGGATGCGCAGACACCGCGCGTGGCTCGGGCAGCGTTCGCTCTGCGTCCTGCGCCAGCAGAACCCGTCCTGCACCGTGAGCTCCCATCGCTGCCAGGGCCGCGCGCCGAGGGGCCTGGTACCCCAGGTGGGCTCTGCTCTGCCAGGCCAGGGAGGACCAACACAGCATGGCGACCGAGGGCCCTACGTGGGGCCCAGTGCCAGCTCTTCTAGATCTGCCCCTCGGCAAGTCACTGCCCGTCTCATGCCCCCACTAGGTGTTCCTTCTCTGCCAGCCCCACCTCTGTGGTGGTCGCTCCCATGCCGAAGACCGCCCCACCGGCCACAGTGTGTCGGGCACACATTGTGGAAGGAAGAATTGCCCCTGGGGGTATGGTACCCTACCAACTGCCTGTCCCTCCGCTGATTCTTAGGAAGCTAGTCAGTCAGCATTCAGCCTGCTGCCGTGTCCGCGAGCGTTCAAGGTCGCAGTGGGCCCCTCTGGCGTGTGACAGGTGCCTCACCTGACTACGCAGCTCTGGAAGGGGGAGGTGGTCCCACAGGGTTTCCGTCAGTCCCTCCCTTCTCCTCGGACTCTTCTCCCGGTGTTAACCCCTGTAGCACCCCGGGGAGGCTCTTCATAATCCACGCGAGTCTAGAAGTCTCCAGGAACAGCATGTGTGCCCGTCCCCACCCCGCCGCCCGGGCACACACCCTGCGCACTGTCCAAGCACGGGAGGATTTCGATGGGCAGTGCTTCATTGGAGATAGTTTTTAACATCCAAACACCATTTCATAAGATGAAATTTTTAGTCATTTTAACTTAGTTGAAAGGCTTATTTTCGGATAAGGGCCTCATTTAATCTTCTCAGCTTGAAGTATTTTACAGCTACTGTTTACAGCAAAAAGTAATTTGCAAAGTCCAAGTAAAGGAGGATTACTGGAATGTGTTAAAGCCCACTAATCTTCCTATTATGGGATGGCACAGATGAAGACATAACAAATTTAAAGTTTTAAAAAGATACTGCATTGGTGGGATGTCCTGAGGGTTCTTCAGATAATCCAGGGTATGTTGCCTACAGCCTGAAAATGAAGGTGTTAAAATATACAGGTTCTTTTCCTCCGGCTCCCATTTATTATTCCCCCTTCCTATATCTGGGCATCATTTGCTCATGGGAGATCCAGAGATAGTTTTGCTCATCTAACTCAAAAGGATGTTATCAAGTTTGGATGACTTCCATGACCAGATCGGGACAAAAGCCAAGATGTCAGTTCTTCAGGCTATTTCCCAGGGCACTGCTGCTCCTTCATCAACATGCCCTGTGCGGCAAGGGGGCACGTGGTACTCTACAGGCTACCCAGGGCATGAGCTTGTATGATGCTCAAGTTTCTCAGTCTGCGAGTACCATGTTCCTCAAAATTAACCAATGTATTTTATTCATAAACACTTAGGAATTGAGCAACTACCAGATTACCCTACCTCAATGTCTTATGCTTTGCAGCCTGGGTACCAATGGGTAACTTTGTCCCAAAGTTACTAGTCAAAGGTCAGTTAGGACTCCATTTGTGGCCAGTACAACACAGAAGGATACCAGGGCTCTGTTCAGGACATTTCCTGTCTCGATCTCAAGCTCGTCCATTTAGTCCTGAAGAAGCACTTTGACCTACTTTGACCTTGTCGAACACTAAGCCTACCAGTGGTCACTGGGGGAAAAATATCATTATTCAAGGCACTTCTGACTTCCTTACTTGAAAACTTCTAGATGCTCAGAAACAAACCAAGAAGGATAGACGTTAAATAAATCTGCAGAAGACCCAAATAGCACAAAGTTAGCCAATTAGCCCAAATCAGCGATCAGGACGAGATGTAACCTAATTAAATTCAACAGTCTACAAAAGGATGTGTTCAAACAATTCCCCTTCATTATAAATTCTCTAATGCGAACACTTCCCATTTAACACAGGATACCACAAAGGGGCACTTCTTTGCTGAGATCTTCCAGGTTACTCAAAGCTTCTCAAGTTCCCATTTTTAAAGATGCTAAGGGAAATGAATGAAGGATAGCCCATTGCGAGACAGTAGATGTGTCTAGAGCTTACTGTAGACTAGTATCTGTGGTATTGCAAGACTGCTCAAAATCAATGTAAACTTTTGGGGTTTTGTTTTGTTTCCAATGGCCAGTCGGATTGTTCGAGGCCAAACTCCCGAGAGTCTCTTGCTACACAATGTCACCGTCTGCAGAGGCCACTACGCTGAGTGGCAGGCAGCTGCCCAATGTCCTGTGCCTCAATTTTCCGGCAAGGAGCCTTCGGTAAGAATGAACCCGGGAGCTTTTTGGGGGGGTATGTGCCCCTAGCAGGAACCGAACCCGGGACTCTTGGGCCGCAGGCCGACGTTCCAACTGCTGAGCCAAACTGGCCAGGGCTGAACCCAGGAGCTTTTAAAAATAGCTGTCGCTGTAGTCAAAATAACTAGAGCTCTTATATGCTTGAGAAAAGAACAGCCCATGTCACCACTAGACAAAGCCAAGTCTTCATTAAGTGTGCTAATGGAGAAATCAAGTTATGGATAATTTTAAAAGAGGTTTACTGCCAAAAGCACTCTGTCCGTTTTGAAATGCGTTCTCCTTCCATTTCGACGTGGACGTCTGATGTTGTGGGAATTCAGAGCAGCACAAGCCCGGGCGTGTCTCTGGAGGAATCAGAAAGCCGAGGGGCTGTCCACCCTCTGTTCTCAGCAAGCTCAGCAACCTGTCCCTCCTCTCCATCCTGAGACTTCACAGCATCACTTCCCAGTGAACACTGCGCCTCGCCCAAGTGAGAACGGGCCCTCTTTCTAAGCTGGCCTTCTTTCTCTCTACTGCTTTTAGGATAGAAAAAATGGGGTGTTAAGTGCATCGCCTTGCTGTTTTAATTAAGCTCCCATAACTGAACTAATGACAATGGGAGCCAAAAAAGAGACTTAATTAGAGCCGATGATGGTGCCTACAAGGTCTCAAAAGTGAGAATCGCTGGGTAGGCTGTAATCTTTCCCGTGGATGGCATAGGAAAATCGAAACAATAACCCTACTTGGTCTTCCCGGGTATCTTAGAACAACACGAACCTTGGGACAGCTAAGCGATGTGTAAACAAAAATGAAACTAGAAGAAAACAAATGCCCAAAAATAGGTCATAGAGAATGGGTTCGTAGCATATAACAGAATATATATCATGGGATTTAGGAAATTAAGTCATCAACTTTTGAAGAATAAAACGATCGACTTTTTCTAAAACCCTCAAATATATTAAATTAAGCACTGGCTTTTAAGGTGCAAACTGCCAGGAAGGAGGTTTAAAACAGCGAACTGGAATAGATGTGCCCACAGACTGTGGTGGTTTTAATGGCCAGTATAGATTGTCTCTGTCTTAAACTCAACTAGCAGCAGCCACTGCCCTGCCTGCATATTAATGGGGAACATGAATGCCTCTCTAAAATTTTCAGCTACAGCGTCTCCATAAAAAAATCAATATCTTCCCACACCTCATGAATACAGACCAGAGCCTGCTCCCAGCAGCAGCAGATGCCGACATTAATTATCATTAGAAGGGAGAACTTACCCATCTCTGTGGCTCTTCCCTGCTACACCTCCTTGCACACCCAAACTCATGTTGTCACTCTTCCCCATTATTTTTAATGGATCCTAATTCAAAGTGTGTATGGGCTGTGCAATTACCGCTTGGCTGGGTGTACATATTCTCTCTGATGTCTCGTAGACGCTGAATCCAGAAGGCATCCCAAGGACAAGGAAGGGCTCTGGCGCCTCACTGCACCACATGTACCTGGTGTTTGCAGGACCCCATCCCTCCTCTTAGCCTCCCTTAGCGCAGTGCGTCTCCGCGGTGCTGTTAGCAATGGAACCTTGCAGCTCACCCTCAATGGTGCACGGCTCCCCTCGTTAGGAAAGAGCATGCTTTGCACATCACCTCACCGAAACTCAACTGATCAAAGGAACCAATTACACCTGCTCGCCCCTTCTCTCCCGCTTGTCCTACTGCCCCTCTTGTCCTGAAACTCAGACACACACAGACCCCAGATTCTAGAGGTGTTCACGCAACTCATTCTCAAAAGATGCCTGGTCTTCCTTAGCCACAAAAGCGCCTTACTGCACTTACCTATGGCACCAATCAGTAATAACTATGATGGTGATAAGGCTGCTGCTCTGCAGATTATTAGAGGGTGACATCAGCAGTCTAGGGAAAGCTTTAACTGAGGTAGACACTCCGCAGCCTTGCTCCAAGGGGCTGCTACATGTTTGGACGCAGGATTCAGAGAGCTGGTTCCTGCCCCTGGAAATCTCATTGTCTAGAAAAAGAGGCCGTTCACAAGCTCACACACAAAATAAAATCAAAGCCAGCATGTTCTTATTTCCTGGTAAAAATGAAAAACCAGGAGCGAAAGTGGAGGAAACGAGTTTCATTACTGCAGCTTTTAAATCAACGCGGTTTTATTTCTATCATAAAGTACTCACTGTACAGCGACTCTCTGAGTATTTCTGGAGAAGGCAAAAATAAAGCTAAGAATCCACAAAGTATTTTAGCATTTAAGAAACTCATACGAAACAGTCAGCTCCCTTTATTTCATAGGTGGAGAAGTGGATGCCCGAGGAGTTTTAATTTCTTACCCATGGTCATAAAGGGCATTCCCAACAAAGCCAAAGCAAGAAACCAGAGCTTCTGATTCTGTGGCCATAAACTTTCATCTCTATACCCTTCAGCACTTATTCTGAGTCTCTGGCCTCTCCCACCCTCCACTCTGCTGCTATCTATAAGGACATGTCCCCGACATTATATTCATGTCTGTGGATAAAGTTTAAACAGTTGTTTGGAGAGAACCCCAGATGATAATTTCTTTCAACACATTTTACAAAACAGAAAATTTGAACGTAAAAAGTCTCAAAATTTGCCTGAAGGCATAGGGTTCTGGGTGATAACACCAGAAGCCAGGTCTTCTGAGACCCAGTTCCGAGCACCTGGCCACCTGCCCTTGCTGCTCTTCACAGTGACCTGCACCGTGACCTCCTTGTCTTTGTTCACTTTGTCTGCACTGGTCACTGCTACTAGGATAACCTTCTAAGATTCACCTCTGGCCATACCTCTCTCACTCCCCAACTTCCTGGGGCTCCCAGACTAACTCTCACCATGGAACTAAATTGAACTTTCTCCTCCTGAAGCAATTTATATACTAGAGCAGCGATAGAGCTGAGAGTTAGTGGCTTACATTCTCCTTCCCGACGAGTCGTACAAAGAAAATGAATCCATTCCATTTTATCGACATGGAAAAATCAGAGACCGTGACTGATTTGACACCACCAAAATCAGGTCTGTGATGTCTAAAACTTTCTCAAATGTGCGTGGAAGATTATTTGTAAAAGTACGTTACAGACCGTGTGAGTGTTTTTGCAAATACCTCTCTAAATTTACACAGGAAAAAAAAATTGCATGCTTGCTATTATTTCTGTAAATATCTAGACCAATTCTCAAAACCCTTTGGGGTTGATCTGAGCACAGCGACTCATGGATTCATTCGCTGGGTCAATGTCATCCTTCACATCTACCCCTTCCGGATTTTCTCCCTCACTCTGCTCATTGTCAGGGCCTCGCCGACAGATAGGTGGGCAGAGGTTCTGTTCTCTCTGCTGTTCTGAACATCTCGCCGACTCCCACTGAGGCAGAAAACAATAGGTGGGTCAAATTGCTTCGTGTTGCCTGCATAAATCAAGCCTCTCTCGAGTAAACGAGAGACACTCTCAGGGACAAAGCAGAGAAGGCTGATGTTGTGAGAAGAGGTGCCATGCAAAACACACCCAGAAAGAAACAAAGAGAGCTAAAAACCACAAGAAAGATAACAGAAGTAAAAATAACGCTGAAGCGCTTGTGACCCGTCAACAGACAAGATAGATCAGGAAGCAGGTAAGGGACGAAGGAGTGATGAAGATAGAGAGTCAGCCGATGATGGTTTGGTGGACGCCCTTCCTGCTCCTAAGATAGCAAGCAGACCCGGAGTTTGTTGTGCTGGGTTTGGAATACCAGGGAGGGAGTTTAGGGGCCTTGAGAAATGGGTTGAGTTATAGTCCTGGCTCTCTGCAATCCAGATCTGTCTCCCTAGGCAACTCATACTCATTCCCAGAACATCTGGTTTTTAATTCTATAAATGCAAAATGAGACCAGATTTCTAAGAACCCTTCACATCCTGAAATGCAATAAATTAATAAGTCTCTAATGTGCTGTAAAACAAGTGAAAGGACCAATGTCAGTGTGGGGCAGGAAGAAGCGCATCGCATGGTCAATGCTCGAGAGAAGCATCAGGGTCCTGGGAGAGCACAGCCCAGGTGGCCAGGCACATCCTTACTGTGGCCCTGGACAATTTGATCTTGTTGAGCCTTCGCTTCCTCTTCTGTAACATAAAGAGAATACCATATGCCCTGTAGGCTTGTTTGGTAGCAGACCCAAGAGAAGCCTTCAAATATTTTACATTTCCATTCTTTTCCTTTTGGGGGAAGACGACACCTTATGTTGTCCCCAACACGTGGTACGGTGATAGCCTGCTGCTCAGATGAGAATCCGTAATGCAGTTTATACTCAGAAAAGGCCTACAGTATGGGCTTCAGTAAAAATGGAAATGTTCATGCCACGGTTCTCCAGACTTCTGTGCTGGTTCTGTAAACATGGGTTTAAAATGCTGAGAAACCAACTTAGGTTTAATTTCAGATAATATTGTCCGTGTGTGCGTGTGTCGGTGTATATGTGTCTGTGGGGTGAGGTGTGTTTTTTTCCGGCAGACCTCCAATTTGTGATGTATCTGTGGCCCCCAAAATTACTATTGGAAATGTTTGTATTTAATTTCCCATGTCTTAGGTTGGCTCAGTAATGTAACTTTCTGAGCCTTTGACTTGGGCTGAATTTGGGAGCATTTATGACCCTATCATATGCAACATAAACATCAATCTGCTTTCTTATTTCTTTGCAAATTTAATTATTTCTAATTACATAAAGGCATCATTGATCAAGTAAGCATAAAAACCAATACAGAAGAGTTTAATCTCTTAAATAAGCTTGTAGACTTCAAGGAATAATTGAATCTTCTAGTATTTAATACAAGGAGACATCTTGGTTGTTGACAACTGGCCCAAAGTTAAAGGAAAATGTCTAACCCCCTTCATTTTATATATCGATTCAGTTCAAATTGAAAATATTTGGATTCTATTTTCATTTCCTTTTCCTCTCTCTCTGCAGACTTGGAAATGGGTTTTAGGCCCTGTGGTCTTATATGCATGTGAAAGAATAATTAGGGTCTGGCGATTTCAACAAGAAGTTGTCATTACGAAGGTATGGTGTAGCTTTATGTCGGAATAAAAGCCTGCATGAGGATGAAAATTTTTTTATTAGCCTGAGTTTTTAATTTGTCATCTTTATTGCAGAACCATCTGCAATTTAGAGGCTCATCTTCTGTTCTAATAATTGCTTGCATCCTGTGTGTCTTTTAGCGTGGTTAATTTAACTGGAGGCAGGGATCGGGGCTGCAGACTGGTACACGGAATTCTGAGAAAGGCTGTGGTACACGAACCAGCTGTATTCCTCTTCACTTCACTTTCTCTCCAGAGGGACTGGGCATGCTTTATACCTCGAAGTATCATCACTTCCTTCACACGTAGAGACACGGATTCTGCAGGCACACAAATAACATGCATTTATTTTCAAGCCCACACACTCATACCTAGAATCATCGAACGGAAGATGAGGGAAGAGTCGCCCTCAGGTTCAGAGAGTGGGAGATGCTGGGAGAGTCGAAAGAGACGGAGAGGAGAGACGGGAGAGGAGCTCTGCCCTGGGGAGTGAGTAGCACTTGCCCTGTGGCAGCATTTCCCAGCCTTGCTGAGCCTACTCGCAGCTCACTGATACCTACCTCGGGCTGGAGGAAGATATGGGCAGATAGACCGAGAATACATGATCTAGGAGACTGCAAAGGTACCAAATACTCTGCCCCCGTGTTCTAAATGTCTGGGAAGAAATTCTCTGCTAACCAAACCTATACCACTTTGCTAATACAATATTAACAGAATACTACATCTCTTTAACTGACTTGGTGAGAGCAGAGGCCTAGAAATTGCTTCATATTTCTGTTTTAAGCTGTTTCTATGTTGCTGTTTTCAAGTTAAGCACCAAAGGCTATGAGTCTGTATCAAAAGCTAGACAGTAAAACTTGTAGAAATCCACTAAAGCTGTTACTAGGGAGACAGTTGAACAGCAGAAGCAGAACGAATATGAGTAGGGCGAGGAGAAACAGAGCTGATGATTAAAATGTGGTGACATTCTCTTAGGTGTAGAAAAATATTTTCACAGAATCAAGGCAAGATTTTTTTCCCTTATAACTCTTGCCACAATAAAAGACCTGGGGACCTGGAGAGATTTTTCAGAAAACAAGATGGAAATCTAAAAAGGGAAATTAGCTCCTTCCCTCTGATAAGCAGCAAGTTATCAAGTTCTTACAAAAGTAATAAGCGTTTGGCATGACCCTTCCTATATCTAAAGCCCGAGTGTAGGTAGGAGACGTGACTAAAACCGAATGAAACATTTCAGAGTGCGTTTGAAGAACGTTTTCCACTTAAAAGGTAGAAAAATCAGGGTTAATTCACAAAGGATTGAAAAAACATTCTGACCCTTTAAAACTGAACCTACCCTTTGAAAACGTGGAGATAATTCTGTGACTATTTTAATAACTTGAAGTAGCATTAAGGGCACTGCATGACATGCCAGCTTACATTTTCTTGGGTCTGGTGAGCTGTGCTAAGGAAAGCTTGGCCATTTGGGACATGAAGTCACACGCTGGACACCACGTGGCACCTGGATGCAGATGCCCAGGTTTCAGACATCACTGAAGGAGCTAAACTTCATTCTTGCTGGATTTGCCATGAAAGTGGCGGCCAAGACCCTCAGAGGCTCATAACAAATGGTGAATGTAAATTACACCTCAAAGAAGCTGTTTTGTTGATTTCTTTTTAGTTTATTTTTATAGTTGAGAGTATTATACATGTTCCCCCTTTTTCCCCCTGTGCCCCCCTCCACCGGCTTCCACCCCATCCCAGGCCTCCACCGCACTATTGTCTGTGTTCACGGGCTATGCATATATGCCTATAAGTTCTCTGGTTTCTCTCTTCCCACTCCCCTTCTGCCCCCTTCCCTCTGAGATCTGTCAGTCTGTTCTCTGTTTTCATGCCTCTGGATCTATTTTGTTCGTCAGTTAATTTTGTTCATTAGACTCCATATATAAGTGAGAGCATGTGATATTTGTGTTTCTCTAGCTGGCTTATTTTGCTTTGCAAAATACTGTCCAGGTCCTTCCATGCCGTCTCAAAGGGTAAGAGATCCTTCTTTTATACAGCTGCATAGTATTCCATTGAAAAAAGCAGATTTCAAAATGTGAAACCCTTTGATGTAATGAAGGCTATTTTCTCATTACTTGGCCTGAGTGAAAACACCAACAACTCCCTTGTTCTAATTTAGGTGGTAAGCCATCCGTCTGGGGTCCTAGAACTTCACATGAAAAAGCGCCACTTTAAAATGGCGCCAGGGCAGTACATCCTGGTGCAGTGCCCGTCCATATCCTCGCTGGAGTGGCACCCGTTCACCCTCACCTCGGCTCCCCAGGAGGACTTCTTTAGTGTGCACATCCGGGCGGCAGGTGACTGGACAGGAGCTCTGTGTCGGGCCTTTGACGCTGAGGGACAGGCCCTGAAGGAGCCCTGGAACCTTCCCAGGTGGGATCCCGTGTTTTCTCTATGTATAAGTTGGAATGGTTTTAAAAGTAAGAAATTTTAGTGCATCAACATGCTACCAAATTTAGCAATATCTTTATTCTAGATGGTAAATTTGACTCCATTTCTTAAATTCGAGAATCTATATTAAAAATACAGTCATTAAGTTCTGGGGGGGCGGGGGTCAAAAGTGTGGATTTTCCATTGCACAGAGCCAGTCCCTCTAAACCCACATCGGTCAAGGGTCAACTGTAATTTAGAAGATTTCCAGTAGAATCAAGTACATTTCTTACAAACAAAAAAATGTCCAACGAAGGCAGGCAATGATTCAGGGAGAAGTAGAATCTTACTTTCCCAGCTCCAAAACGTCACTTGGCTAATTGTATGCAGCCCGTGGTGGAAAAGACAGCCCTGTGAACTTTTTGTTGTTAGGCTGAGGTCTTTACATTTTATTTGTAAAGTTTGGTCTTCATAAGAAGCGTGTTTCCTGGTCAGAATTAATCTGGCAGGATCCTTACGCTGGGGAAAGAGCTAACAATTACAGATTGATGCTCATAAAACGACAAAATGACCAGACAGTCAAGGAAGTTAGTGGTGGCAGCTGGTCTGTCAGCCCTGCGTGTGTGTGTACAACGAGTGTTGATCACCCTCCACTGTGTGCCAGAAATAGAGAGATGGCACAGCACTGCCTCCTTCCTCTAGGACAGCAGGAGGTCTAAGGCCAGCAAATGCTTCGGTTTTGCTACAAGGAAGATGTGCAAAAGGCAGGTCTGAGAAGGTTGGGCAAGCACTGATGCCGTCTGGTCTAGTCTCCTAGGGTTGTTGCAATGAAGGACCACAAGCTGGGTGGCTTAAGACAACAGAAACGTATTCTCCCACAGGTCTGGAGACTATGGTACAAAATCTACGTGTCTGGAGGGCCACACTCCCTCTAAAATCCATAGGGCAGAACCCTTCCTTGCCTCTTCCTGGCCTCTGGTGGTTGACCAGCAATCCTTGCTTCCTTGGCCTCCACTGCAGTGTTCTTTCCTCTTGTGACTGTGTCTCTGTGTTTCTGTAACCTCTTCTTGTAAAGACGCCAGTCATATTGGAATAAGGGCCCACCCTCCCATCTGACCTCATCTTCACTTGATGAATAGCATCTACAGCAACCCCATTTCCAAATAAGGTCACATTCCAAGGTACTATTTCAACATATCACCTGGGGGATGTGATTCAATCCAAAACAGCATCCTACTCCAAAAAGCCTGGGCCTGTGACACCAGTCCAGTGTCAGTTACCCCTCCTTAGCTCCTTTGGGTAAACAGCGGCTTAATGCTGATCCCTACTCCTACTGTGGGATTACCTGAAAAGCACACAAAGCCTGTCTTTGGGGCCCCAGACAAACAGGGACACATGAAAACAACGTTGAGAAAAACATTTTTGAAATAACTGATATTTCAAAAGAAGCATCAAGAGGTTCTCTCTTCTGCCATCCTTGGAGGGTATCAGGGACTACCAAGCAGTGGCCACTGCCATAGGAAATTGCGTGGTGAGCACAGTAAAATCACACCTAGAATGGAACTTCCGGGGGCAGGATGCTGTCTGTTCTCTTCGGTATGACCAGTACCCAGAACAGTGTCTGACACATAGTGTGTGCAGGCTCAGTGTCTGCTAAAGGAATGAATGAACCTCTGGACCTGATAGGGTGCTTCAGCTCATTTCACTTGACAAGTATTTACAGGTGGCACACTGGGTACTGGAATTAACTTGAGGCACAGAATCCAATCAGTGGATTGTCCCCTTCCCCCTCCCGCGGGACACTGAGCTTTGGCCACGGGGCACGGCACCTGGCTGTGTTTGGCGGGTAGGAAGAGCCCCGTGCTTTGATTCTAAGCGCTGGTACTACAGAGTTGTGTGGTGCCAGACCAGACAGAGCCCCAAGTCAGAGGACAACACCTGACTCTTCCATTAAGACCTTTCTTTTCATCATGGGAAAGAGGCAATGTAACAGGATTCTAAGATTCAGAATGCAGTATAAATGCTTAAAATCAGGGATGAAAGTATGTACGCACACACACGCACGCACACACTCCCAGGCTCCCTAGGCCCCTGGGCTCCCTCCCGCTTCCCGGTGCAGCACCATTGTCATTTCCCACACACCAAGCACACTCCCCATTCCCTCCACCTGCGACACCCCCTCAGATCTCTGCCCGCCCCCTCCACTCCCAAATCTCTGCTCAAATGTCTCCTTTCCTTCCCTCTTCCCGGCTGACGCTCGGGGTCACTGTGCTCTCTACTTCTGCACAACACACCACCTGACACACTGAATTCCTGTTCAGTTCGTCAGCATCTCTCCCCACACTGGAGTGGAAGTTCCAGGAGAAAGGGGACGTTATCTGTTTGGTTCACCTTGCGTCCCCAGGGCCAGAGCAGGCCCGAACTCCTGGTCGGCATCAATAAATATGTATGGAATGAATAAAAATGAGTTGTCACAAACAGCACAGCTTCCCTTTATTTGTTCAGTTCGTTTGAACAAATTCGTATGTGTTAGCACACGCGCTAGCAGCTAGAATTTGTTTATGTCTTCAACCCACGAAGAACCAGACTTTTATTGGACTTCTTGGAGGACTTCGTCTCTCAAAGGTGTTTTACTTTTGAATTAAATCAAACACTTTGGGGAGAGCACCATACTTTTCACTGCTTTTGGATCCAGAAAGGATTTAATCCAGCCCCAGGAGTCAGTGACTTGAGGGGCCCAGAGGAGAAGCAGACCTGGGCCCAGAGCCTTTCCCAGAGCCCAGGAGAAAGGGACAGACATGAGCTCCTTTGGGAGACGTTCCCCTCCCCAGTCAAACGAAGGATTTCTCAGAGTTGATCCTGGAGTTCTCAGCGGGGGCTCCGGCATCAGTCAGCCTTGGCTCAAAGCACAGCTGTGTGCGTGATCCTGGAGAATGCCTCTACCGCTGTGCCTCAGTTTCCCCACCTGTAAAACGAAGATGATAATAATAGTGCTTAAGGCTTTGTTTAGGATTAAATGTGACAGTTCATATAAAGCCCGTAGCATGATGCATAATAAAAAATAAAATTTGGCTATGGTTTTTATCAAAATAAGAAAGATCACCAACCACAGAGATGACAGCCAAAGTGGTGATTAGATAAGGAGAACTATTTTAGATGAATAAAAGTCACCGGTTCAAAGAGACAAGACTAGAGGTTGATGAGGTGGGTGGGGGATGCTGCTGACCATAAGCAACCCGGAACAGCATGGTGTGGACGCTGGAAAGGTAAATTGCTTTCTATTCTGCACTGTTGGAAATTCTCTGTATCCAAATCAAACAGGAAGGAGCTGAGTGATCTTGATAAATAAGAATTTGGCCCTGGCCAGTTTGGCTCAGTGGTTAGAGCGTCGGCCTGCGGTCCGGAGAGACCCGGGTTCGGTTCCCACTAAGGGCATGTACTTCGGTTGCAGTTTGTCCCCGGCCCTGGTTGGTCATGCGGGTGGCAGCCACTCGATGTGTCCCTTCACGTCGATGTTTCTCTCTCTCTCCCCCTTCCTCTCTCTCCCTCCCACTCTATCTGTACAAAAAATGGAAAAATATCCTCGGGTGAGGATAAAAAAAAAAAAAAAAAAAGAATTTGGACAAAAGAAGCCAGTTGAGGATTGTGAGAAGCCTGGAAAAATGAAGACATTTTGGTCCAGAAAGAATAATTAAGGTGTCATGATAGCTACGATCAACTATTTCAAGGTCTGAGATGCAGGAAAGAGAAAGACCTGATAAGTGTTTCTCAAGAAGACAAGGGACGAGTTATGCAAAGACAGATCTCAGTGAGACGTGAGAAAAACTCTCTAATTCTTAGAGCTGCCCCTAAATGGAACCAGGTACTCTCTGGTCTATTATCGGAAATGTCAGCTATCAGGGATGTAGGAGGACAGATCACTATATTCACAGAGAAGTTGGACTGAATATTGTCTGCTTCCACTTCCGGCCTAGGTTCTCAATTTTAATTATGTAGAAATGTGTGCATTATGTATTTCTATGGATTATATGGCACAATTCTTCTTTGGATTCAATTGTTATCTTTTCACATCAGTGTCAAATAAGTCCCAAATATGACTAATTATAAAAACAATTACCAATAGGACATGTTAATCCATGATCAGCTTCACCTTTTCTCTCTCAATTCCCCTCATGTAATTATTTATGAAATAATCTGCATTGGGCTGAAATACTAACCCTTTCTGGTTAATGACCTTTTATTTTTATTCTTCCATTTCCATATATCCATATGTAATAAAGCCTTATTAATTAAGATTAACTTGGGGAGAGTTCATTTGAATTATTAGGAGGTCTGGCATGTGGAATATTTTTAAATAAACCCAATTGAACTTTCATAGCACATCCTAAGCCCAAATGGGCCAACCTGGGGTGCCTTCAACAGACACCCCGTAGGGAACGGTTATGAATAACTTAGAACCCTTTCAATTAGCATATCTTTGTTCATATGTAAATGTGTGCTTTTGGAATAGTTGACTTTTTTCAGTACATTCTGCTGACTGAAATCTTTTAAACATTCCCTTTACGATTTATTCAACAAACTGTTATTGAACAACTCCGAGCGGGAGCGTGAGCGTGGCGCTGGGATGCGGCGGTGAGCAAAGGCAGACACAACACAATCGCGCACACACACCCAGACAAGTGTACTGCGGAGGAGGGAGCACGGTGTGTAAAATATAAGAAGATTGAACTAGTCTAAGGAGTTCATGAATCTTCCCCAGGATAGTAATGACTGGGATGCAACCTAGTGAAAGGGCAGCTATTAACCAAGTAAGGGGAGAAATTGGGGCAGAGTATTCCGAGTGAGTACCTGGATTGTGATGTGTAAAGGCCCTGTGGCAGAATGGGGAACTGTATATTTTAGAAAATGGCAGGAAAGCCAGTGCGGAGAACTGGTCATGAGAACTGGAGTAGAATCCAGGGCCAGTCCATGTAGAACCACATCAAAGACAATCACATTCATTCGGTCAGTATGGTGTCTCCATATCAAGAAAGGTTTGCTAAGCAAAGACGCATCAGGGCCACCCCAGCCTAATTATTACAGATTTTGGGTTCGCACAATCTAAAACAACAAATTTTAGAAATTGCGTGTAACTGACAAGTTATCTCAAAATGTTTTGTTTATTTTAAATAATGACTTCCATTAGGCAAAATTATATAAATATATGGCACTAAGGTATGGGACTGAATACATAAAAGCAGGGCAGAAGCACATTCACACAAGGACAGATAAACCTCCGGACCACCGGGATGCACCTGCTGTTTCTCCGACGGCAGCTTGGACAGGAGAAGAAAACAGAAAGGTTTCTACCAGGCTTCCCGGGGCCTGGAGCCAGAACAAGCTTCTAAGAACAGTCAGAAGAGCGTGCCCCGTGGAAGAGGCGTGAGCTCGCCCCGAGAGGTCAGGCACTGTCCTTCCATGAAGGACACCGGACTGTCCGGTGGACCCCAGGAGGCAGGCCCACCCCTGGAGCCCAAGCTGTCACAGGGCGTCCTCCAGCACAGGGCCACCCCCTGCGCACACTGCAAACTCGGCCACAGAGGGCACCACCTGGGAGCGTGCGTTTCGGGAGGGGTCTCTGAACGCCCTGTGCTTGCAGGCTGGCGGTGGACGGGCCGTTCGGGGCCGCGCTGACCGACGTCTTCCACTACCCGGTGAGCGTGTGCATCGCCGCGGGCATCGGGGTCACGCCCTTCGCCGCCGTCCTGAAATCTCTCTGGTACAGATGCTGTGAGGCTCAACCCCCGCTGGCGCTGAGCAAGGTATGGGGGAGACCACGGGTTCATCCTTCCGCGGCTTCCAAGGCTCAGCGTCCTGGTATCTATCATCTGGAGATTCTTGGGGAGGATTTTAATTAACTATGAGGGATAAACTCAAGGAGCCTTAACTCTACTTATGTTCTTAAAAATCTCCATTCGGTCTTACATTTATGAGAAGGGTTATGTCTAATCTTGTTAAAGATGACATAAATGTTATTGCTTCATTGCCATTACAGGACATGTAATTGCTCGTGTCAGTAAAATATGGACAGGCTGCAATGGCTGTGTGACTGAGCTGCGGTTAGTGGTATTAACAGGCTGCCTTGCTTCAGTCTCTTGAGCTTGGTGCTCTGGTTGGGAGCGTTCGATTCAGTGTCTTCCTCTCAGGGATCCAGGGTCTTAACGAGAAGTGAAAACGCCATCGTTGGGATTTAATGGCTTCCTTCCTTGGTGGTGCCATCCGTCCCCAAATCTCCCTTTTGTCATTTCTTGTCTGTTCTCCGACTAGCTCCTTCACGGGTGCCTTCCTGTCTGTGTGCTGTCCAGAGACGCTGTCCCCCACTTTCACCCTCCCGGGACCAGCAGCAGACCCCAGAGCAGAGTACAAAGGGAGCCTTGCTAAGACCGAGTGGGGTCCGCTCAGGGGGACCCAGGAGGTCCGGAAGGCCTGGTTTTGGTCCTGATTCTGCTACTTTTTGTCTGGTTGACACGTTGGCTGCAGTCTCCTCATCTATCAGAGATGCTTGGTTAGAGCTGCATGTCTCAGTGTGTGCTCTACAGGACATTAGTCATATGAAAGGATCCACTAAAGAGAATTCTGTAGCCAAAGGAACTTAAGAAACCACACTCTAGAAGAATCACATGATCCCTTGGCCTATTAACTAAGCTCTACAGAAAAGAACCTCATTCCGTTTGCTTCACCCACTCTCCCCAAGCTTATTTGGTCGTGGAAACTTTCTTCACCTAACGTTTATTAAGGAATAGCGTTAATTAACAAAACACTGGGGCAATTTCAGACCGGAAGATCTCTGGAGTTGGGGCTTCCAATTAAGAAGTAAGAGGAAAATTAGCTATCATTTCATGAGCTTCCAAGTGACAGGTGCTTGACATACATTTTCTTATTTAATCATTATCGTCTTCCCAACAACCTTGAAAAGTCAATAATAAAAGACCTGTTTTTCAGATAAGAAACCTGAAGCTTAGCAAGACCGAAGTGACTGTCCTGAAAATACATGGGCAGTAAGGGCAGATTCAGGATGAACGCAGGTCCATCTGGCTCTTTCCATGACATAACCAACACATGGTAGACATGACCTCCCCCCCATTGTACCGGGAAAGACTGTGGGGTCCTGGTCAGAGACTGTGGCTCGGCCAGGTTCCTCTCTCCCTAGAAGTGTCACCTGCAGCGAGTCAGCTCATCTCCTTAAGCGGGATTTCCTGATCCACACGAGAGAAACAAGAATCGGCGCCCAGCATGACTTGGAAGCACAGAGGGCTGGTAGATATGAGAACGTGATTCTGAACCCAGGTCCTTCTGGTGCTAATGCCCATCTTCTTTCCTCTATCCCACAACAAACGCAACCACGTGTCTTAGTCTGTTTGGGCTGCTATCACAAAATGCCACCACTGGGTGGCTTATAAACAACGGGCACTTATTTCTCCGGGCCTGCGTGCTGGGCAGCCCGATCCGTGCCCTGGCTCGCCGGGGGGCCGACGGAAGCCTGCGTCCCGAGAGCCGCCTTCTCGGTAGAACTGCCATCGTCCGTGGCGGAGGAGGGCAGGTGGCTCTTTGGAGTCTTTTCTTTTAACTCGCAGGAGTCATGTTTATTGGTTTACAGTTTGCAACTCAATGAGAAGAAATACAGACACAGAGCCCTAGACGACTTTTTCTAAGGGCACTGATCCCATTCGTGAGGGCTCCGCCGGTGTGACCTAATAACCTCCCAGAGACACCCCCTCCGAATACCGTCACACTGGGCATTGGTTCCGACATAGGAATTCCGAGGCGACGCAAACGTTCTGTCTATGGCACAAAGCAAACAAAATAGCTACTCTTTTCTATATCTGGACCCCACAACAATGCTTTGCTGTGGCTGAGATGCTTGCCAGTCCTCCTAAACTTTGTCTCTCCTCTTGCTGTCTACCAGGAAAAACTCATTTAGACACGTGGCCCTTGCTTCGCGGCCTTCATTAGCGGAAGCTTACATCCCGTGCGCCTGCTGCGGGATTGTGGCCTCACCCACTCACTCACTTCACTCCATGAATGCTTTTCAGCACCGAGTATGCGCCAGGCCCTCTCGTACTGACATGAAAAGCCCATCACTGTCCTCACACCAGACTCACAATACCGCACCCTTCTCTTAACATCCACCTCCCCCCCGTGCATGGTCAGAGAGTATCTTCTTCTAGCAGACTCTGAGCTTCTGCAGCCTGGCTTCTTTAGAATATATATACATAAATATACATTTTTTAAAAAGTAAATCGATGAGAGAGTGTCTGTGTGCTCAAAAGAATAAACAAATGGCTTCTGTATAATTCTCTATAAGATTCTAGGTTACTAAGGTCAATTCATTTTTTTCTATTTAACCAGAAAGATGCTTTGTTCAGTAATCCAAGTATTTTACTACAAATAGAGTGGAAAAATTCTTATAAGAACCCACAAAATCTTCAAGTCCCTGTAGGAACTCTCAAAACCCTCAAAACTCTCAAAATCTTTGTCAACATTCCAAGTTATTCCTGGGTGCTGTTATGGGTTGTTCAAGGCTGTGTCAATGGGAGGGTTGGACAGTTCTCAAAAAACAGGGATATTGATCTTTATTCCAAATTCAGAAATTGAAAATAAAAATACAATGTTTTGGGGTTGTTGTTTTTTATCCTCACTGGAGGACATTTTCTCCTTTTTTTTTTTTTTCAGATAGAGAGCAAGGAGAGAGAGAAAGAAAGAGAGAGAGAGAAACATCGATGTGAAAGGGACACATCGAGTGGCTGCCACCCTCACGACCCAACCAGGGCCGGGGACAAACTGCAACCAAGGTGCATGCCCTTAGCGGTAACCGAACCCCGGTCTCTCTGGACCACAGGCCAACGCTCCAATCGCTGAGCCAAACCAGCCAGGGCAAAAATACAATGTTTTTATAACATAAAAATGTGGGATAATATTGGGTCATGATTCAATTGAAAATAAAGGTAGGAATAATGGTACATGGGAGCTGAAAGCTTAGAGTCACCAATTTGAGGGGCCCTGACCTCCGAGCTTTGCACATGACAACAAACGTCAGCATCTGTACTTTGGGAAGTGATTTGTCCAAGATCAGCCAGCTGGCCAGTCACTGAGTCAGGGTGGGAGCATGTGTTTCTGATTTCTGCATCTCCGATGAAAGTGAGATTTCATGCTAGTGAAAGTTCAGATGGAAAATTACACTGTAGTTCTACTTCCTTGGGGTCTGTGTGCATGAGAAACAGTTCAAGAAGTTCCTCTCTTTTAAAGCAACTTTGTGTTTGTTTGAGTACAGCTATCACTAGGCTTATGTAACCATTATTTGTGAGGGCCACCCACATGCTTTTGAGATATAAATACTACTTCTCCCAACTAAACTGTCAGCATGTATATAATTTTTAAAGCGCCGCAGAGCAGAGCAGTATGTATTTGTCTCATAGCATCTACACAATTATAGACCTGGGCTAGAGTTTTCAGATGGTTCTCTTCTGTAACAGGAAAGAAGAAAAAACAGCACAGGGGTTCAGAGCTGGAGTTTGAGGACCAAAGGGTTAACTACAGCAGATGTTCTCCTCCCCTGGTCAAACAGCAGCTGGCACAAAGAAATATATTTTTTCATAAAAGCCTCATGTTGCAAGTCTAAAAATTAAAAATATATATATATAGCAAAGGTTTCTCTGTTGTTCCCACTCAGAACATTTTTCTTTTTCCCCGCCACGTTTTTCTAGAACGCTTCTAATTGCCGCTTCTTTGGCATCATGTGGACCATTTCCTGTTTGAAGCTGGTGGTTAAAATTTTCTTCCTAACAATTTCTTATTTTTAAAGATAGTCAGGAGGTGGTGGAGAGGAAGAGAGAGAAGTGGTTAGGAGGAGACTTCCCAAGAAGGCAAAAGAACACTAAGTACAATAATGATGGTTTGCGCCCTGGTCACCTGGTGAGGTCGTGCAGGAGGCAACCAGTTAATGTGTTTTTCTCACGTTGATGTTTCTCTCTCTCTCTCCCTCTCTCCCTCTCCCCCTCCCTCCCACTCTATCTGATGATAAATGTAAGAATATCCTTGGATAAGGATTAAAATAATAATAGTGCTGATGGTGTCCTATGAAGAAAAGGCGGCAATGTTGTAATACACAAGAGAGATCCTTTGAACCCTGGAGTAAAAGCCACACTGCACCGAGCAGAAGGCAGCCGAGAACACAGGCCCTTTGGGAGGAGAGCAGGGGCAGGTTGGCTGAGAAGTCTCTGTGATGCGATGTGGAGGAAGCTGGGTGCCGAGGGGTATAAATGCCCCACAGCCATGGACGCCCCCCAACTTCTGCCTAACAGGTCTGATGAATCCTACGTCACACTCACTTTGTGAAAAGAGCTTGAAATAAAATAGGACAACTGCACAGGTAATCCTCAGACTATGATCAAACAGGTGATAGAAAAACTGGGGTCATCTCCTTTCTTCATAAATTGTCTTCCTTCATGAGCTCAAGAATACACAACTGTGATAATGGGTATTTATAGTGTGTTGCATGCAAAATAGCCTCTGGGTTCTTAACCTAATATAATAAACAGATAATTCAAATAAAAAGACAGCATGGGCCAGTGGGAATAAGACAAAGAAGCCACGAAAGGCAAAAATCCATACTCTACTTAAATATATTAATGGGACAAAGGAAGGTGCTCTTTCCTAATGAATGAAAAATGCATTTAATTGAATCTGTTTCGTTTGAGAAATTGTTGACTTTCACTTTCCCTCACATTGGGGCTGTGGCTACTCCTGGAATCGATCGTGGCTC